CCGTCCATTCATAAATCCGGACGCAACAGTGTGTTTGCGATCACAGTGTGTCTAACCAAGGACATTGTCGCTGACACTCGAAGAACTCGAACAGTGTACTCTTGTTTTGTAATGTTATTTTCCTTCATGTAATTTCCGAATTAGTAGTTTTTAGCCTCCGTAGAATTTAGTTCTATTATTAAGGGAATAAATGTGTGCTCCGGAGGTTTTTATCACTCTGTTTAATACCACTTAGAGTCTGGGTGCTGATAATTACCCGAGCCGGAGGCGAGGGTAATTATCAGCACCCAGACTCTAAGTGGTATTAAACAGAGTGATAAATACCGACGGAGTACATATTTATTCCCATTCATAAATACCTTTTCGGTAAAAAAAAATCATATAATTCGTTCAAAACATCCCGATTTTGTTCAACAAATTCACTTTATGCTTTTTGAAACATCCCTCCTGCAAAATAATGGAGTGTTCAGCTGGCGAGTAAGATGAAAACAACCCTTTTATGGAGATTGACGCGCGCTTATCTTGTTCTACGCGATGTCGCGCAGAACGCACCTGGCGCGTTGCGTTTTGAATTTAGAACTATAAAATTCTAACTCCCTGGTAGTGTTGCGCATGCCTACGTGAGGATTGTGAACGTTCAACCAATGAAACGATAAGAGGCACTGGATTTTTAGGAGTCCATATTTTATTGTGACACTGGAAAAGTGTTTAAGACCAGCTAGCCATGTCTTTATCATCCGTTTAATACCGGCCACGTGACGGGCTCTCGACCAATAGGAATGGCTAAACTGTCTGAGGTATTTATGAATAGTAGTTTAGATACAAAACATCAGAAAGTGACAGTCACCACGAACTCTAGAAGAACTCTAGGCTTTGCTCGACGAATTATGCTGTGCCCTGCGTAATTCGTGTTTTTTGGTGTTCACTATTCTACCTCGATCTGAACTCATGAACTGGAGTTTCTACGAGCCACCTTCAAATAACTGTATTGACTCTACTGTTTTCCTCTTGGTTACAACGAGGACGTTGTAAAAACTTGAGGGGGAATAGTGTTACGAACCCAGAATGCTTGATTATGGAAATCTAGCGCCCTCTGGATTCACTCTGTCCATGAAGTACACAATCTTATTGTTGTCTTTTGCTGTTCATTTATTTTACCTAATTATCGTAAATTGCCAACTTGCACTTTTATTCCCAGGGTCTCTTACCAAGCACAGCGCATGATGCAATACCACGCGCGCTACTGTATGCATTATTCATGTAGCGATGTACATGGCGAATTTTGACTCAGTCCACATCTGTCAGCTCGGCAGCAGGGGCTGGCAGCTACAATCATGGCATATTCAATTGTTTGCTACTGGCATGTTGTAGCCGACTGGCAAGCGGATGAGCTCATCTTGGGTCAACGGCTGTTGGTCAACAGGCATAGTTAGTTTGCTACTGCGGGGCAGCCTCCATTCATCCCTGCTGTCACGCTTTGTTGCGTTCCGCTGGATTCGATGAATGTCAGGCCCAGAGGAGAGCGTCTGTCCTGGGCAAGCATTCGCTCTCTTTTCCCCTCTGCCTCGGCGCTCAGCGTCTACTAATCATGATGGTTTCCAATAATATTCAGCTACCGGCAATGCGGGAGCCACCCTCTTCGGGGGCTTTCGTTGCTCGGCAAGGTTCGTGTTCCAGGCAGGCGCGACCTGGTCGTCATCCTGCTACTGCCTATATAGCCTTCGCTTGTTGGAATGTTCGTTCTCTTGGTGTTCATACAGACAGCCACTCCTCCTCGCCAAGAAAATCAGCAGTGGTTGACCTCGAGCTTACTCGTCTCGGTATAAGTGTTGCAGCTCTCAGCGAAACCTGGCTAACTGGCTGTGGTTCTATTCGAGAGGAAAATTTCACCTTCTTTTGGAGCGGTTACGCAGATGATGCGAGGCCTATGCATGGTACAGGCTTCGCAATTCGGAATTCCCTACTCCCTTGCACTCAGCAACCTGCCGCCATCTCTCCTCGCCTCATGTCCTTGCGCATGTGTCTGAGCACTGGTTACGTCACTTTAATCTCTGCTTATGCACCTACCCTGACGTCTACCCCAGAGTCTAAAGACGACTTCTATCTTCAGCTTAGTGAGTTGTTGCACAATATCCCGGCTGGTGATGGCATCATTCTCCTTGGGGACTTCAATGCCCGCATTGGTTCTGACTGCAGTGCGTGGAAGAATGTAATTGGCCCGCATGGTGTTGGGAGAATGAACGACAATGGTCAACGTCTCCTCGAGCTCTGCGCTTCGTACAACCTATGCATTGCCAACACCTTCTTCGCAGGCTCTGTTCGCTCCAAGGTCACCTGGAAACACCCTCGCTCACAGCACTGGCACCAACTGGACCACATCATTGTCAGACAGAGACAACTGCGCGATACCACCCACTGCCGCAGCTTGCATTCTGCTGATTGCAATACAGACCATGCCCTTGTTCGCTGTAAGCTTCGTTTACTACCCAAGAAGTTCCATCGTGCAACGCATAGACCATTGCCTGCTATTGACACTGTCTCAACTCACGACATCAGTCATGTTACTCAGTTTCAAGAGCTCCTTTCTGGTAACTTCAGCTCAGCACCAATCTCTGCCAACCCTGAAGGTGCTTGGTCTAGGTTCCGTTCAGTAGTCTACAACAGTGCTGTGTCTGCCTTTGGTCGCTGCTCACGAAAGCAACCTGACTGGTTCCGGGACAGCGCGGACATACTGCTCCCTGCACTAGAGAACAAACGGTCAGCCAGAAACAAATGCCGCTTGATCAACACACGCTCCTCAAAAGCTGCCCTTCGGGCTGCCAAGAGCACTGTCCAGCGTCTTACTCGAGCAGCTTTGCAACGCTACTGGTCTCACCTAAGTGATCGCATCCAACGTTGTGCCGACTCTGGTGATCTACGCGGCTTGTACCAAGGCATTAAGGAGGCAATTGGTCCTACCCCAAAGAAATCTGCTCCTTTACTGTCGTCCACTGGTGCCATCCTCACAGACCAAACAGCACAGCTTGACCGGTGGGTAGAGCACTATAGCTCACTTTATAACAGCGATGCTGCAGTCAGTACTTCTGCAATATCTACCTTACCTCAGCTTCCCATCCTGAAAGAGCTGGACAATTCCATCACCTTGGAAGAAGTGAAGCATGCCATCAACGGCTTAAAGAACAACAAGGCTCCTGGCACTGATAGCATCCCTCCAGAGGTACTTAAGAAGGGTGGTAATATCTTGGCTGCAGAGCTCCACGCTGTTCTCCTGACCTGCTGGAAATCCCAGTTAATACCACAGGATCTAAAGGATGCAAACATCATAACCCTCTACAAAAACAAAGGTAACCGACAAGACTGCAATAACTACAGAGGCATCTCACTGCTGTGCTTAGCTGGGAAGGTTTTTGCTCGAGTGCTGTTACCTCGGCTACAGGTCATTGCCAACAGAATCCTTCCCGAAAGCCAGTGTGGCTTCCGCCCATCCCGCTCCACTGTTGACATGGTGTTTTCCTTGAGACAACTCCAGGAGAAGTGTGTTGAACAGCGGCGACCTCTGTACATGGTCTTCATCGACTTGACTAAGGCCTTTGATAACGTGAGTCGTTCAGGCCTGTTTTCCATCCTAAAGCGCTTGGGCTGCCCAGATAGGCTTTTGTCTATTCTGATGTGTTTTCATGACGACATGCACGCCACAGTCCAGTTCAATGGCTCAAGATCTGCTAAGTTTGAAGTTCGTCGGGGCGTCAAGCAGGGGTGTGTACTTGCTCCTACCCTGTTTGGGATCTTTTTCTCAGCCCTGCTACACCGTGCATTTCCCGAACCATCTGGTATCCTACTTCACACACGCAGCTCCGGGAATTTCTTCGACCTGTCCCGTCTGCGTGCCAGGACGAAGATTCGGCATGTTCTCATCCGGGAACTCCTGTATGCTGACGATGCTGCCATTGTTGCCCACTCAGCAGATGAGCTTCAACATCTCTGCAACTCATTTGCCAGTGCTTGCTCGGAGTTTGGCATGATCATCAGCCTTGGCAAGACAATGGTGTTATCGCAAGGCCCAGGTCCCCCTCCCATGATCACCATCAATGGCACACCTCTGAGCGTGGTCAACAAATTTCAGTATCTGGGTTCTACAGTTACCAGCACCAACTCCCTGGATACCGAACTTGACTCCCGAATAGGTAGGGCTGCAACCACCTTTGGCCGACTCCGTGCTCGTGTTTGGGACAACCGGGCCCTTTCCATCAAGCTGAAGATCCGCATCTACGTATCCTGTGTGCTTAGTGTGCTACTCTACTGCAGTGAGTCATGGCCGACCTACCGCCGTCAGGAACGTCGACTGAACGCGTTCCATTTCCGCTGCCTACGTTCAATTCTCGGAATCTCCTGGCAAGACCGAGTCTCAAACCCTGCCATTCTTGAGCTCACAGGAGTCAACGACATGTTCACATTGCTGTCAGCTCGCCGCCTTCGTTGGTCTGGTCATGTCTGCAGACAAGAGGACGGTCGACTGCCGAAGGACATCTTCTTTGGGGAGCTGGCTCATGCTCCTCGCCCCCGTGGTCGTCCAAAACTCCGTTACAAGGATGTTCTAAAGCGTGATCTGCGAACCTTCCGAATCCCAGTCACCTCCTGGCAGACCGTGGTGCAGGACCGCACTCGTTGGCGATCCGCTGTCCATCTTGGCCGCTCTGCTTCCTCTGCCGCCTATATTGCTGATTGCGAGAATCGTCGTGCAGCTAGACACCGAGCTACATCGTCGTATTCGACGGGATAGGCCACTACTACTACTATGATGTACATGTGCGCGACTGACCACACCTCCCTTCGCCCCAGCGAGCTAAGTTCATTTCCCCATAGCATGCGTGCTTTGGCGATCTCCGAGAGACTGCCCAGCGGCACGGAGCATTTCTCTCCCCCGTGCGTTACCCATGAACACTAACTGGAGTTCTCGGTCCAGTTTTACAGTCCCGTACTTAGCTCGAGGGAATGGAATGTTACCCTTGCGTGGTCGCGTAGCTGGGCGTGGTAAGACATCCTGCGGTGTCAATAACCTGTGACACAGTAACCTTTTAGCTTGTCACTCACTCCATCAAGGTTGCTCAAGATGTTGTGTAAACACTTTTGCACTCTGATCTAACTATTTGCACACTTCTCTCTCCATGTTTTCCCTTATGTAAATGCACACGTTTCTAGTCTCTTGCACTAGGCACTCTTAGTAAGCCGTGTGACTAGTCATGTGACCCTTAGACATGGAAGATTACTATTGGTTAATTCCTAAATCAGTGCTCATGCATTATTTAATCCCGAAACTTCTACTGCCTATAAATACCGGAGGTTTTCCTCACTTTCGGCAGTGCGGCGAACCACGAAACCAATGTAGTGCGAACGAACCCTAAACCCAAAGTTGTGCGGCGAACTTATATGTTGTGCGGTAAATCGTATGATGTGCGGCGAACCCGACTCTGACAGACCGATTGTTGTGCGACTCTTGTCACTATGAAGTATCGGCCTTCCTTAGTGGTTGAGGCGCGGTGAAGTAATAGTGCAATCACTAGTACTAGTGTTATTATGAAGCATCCTTCTCCTAGATCCCTCGAGGAGTGTGTAGAAGCTGGTGAAATAGTAATACACTAGTCCCAATGGTGCTGTGCGGTTTCGAATGGCCATTGGACTGCTAGTCTTAGCTTGAACATGTTGTGCGGTTGTCTGGTGTTCTAGCCCAGCCAGAGCTAGTTCATCCCCGTCACCACAGCGGACCGCTCCCGCTGTGGCCAGCCGGCTCCCCGTAGCCATTCTCCCGTAGTTCAGCTATGCTAGCCCGGTCTTGTCATAAACACTATCCTTGGATCATAGTGCCTCAATTGACCTTGGATACCCGATACGCCACATGCACACTTTGGTTCGAACTGTAGTGCGGCCTGGTACACTTGCTGGCCCCGTCCAGTTGCCGTTGCCTCCCCGGTCACCGTAGCGGACCGCTCCCGCTTCGGTCTGACCGTCGATAACCCGTACCGTGCCGGTGCCCACTCAGTTCGTATTGGTTGACATGGTTTTGCCATAATACATAGTACATGTATAGACTTTGTAGACGCCAACCTGTTATCTCTATAACGCTACCAAAGACTACCAAAAGGAGAAACCCTATAGGTTGATGAAATCTAACAAAGTTATGTAAAGTGATGAGATGAAAAATCAGTGTATTGACATGTGTGACTGTCACCCCAAAGCTCTGTTTCCCTCCAACTTATTGAATTATTGTTGACTCTAATAATTATTTCATGAACTGCTATTAGCGAACGCAACAATATTTAAGAAGTTGTATTACATGTAAGGCCAAAAAAAAAATTCGGTCTCTGGTCAGACCAATGTTCCGGAATTGATGCGGCGACGCGGCTTTTTTTCCCAAGCTTGGATTGTACAGACAAGGTGGATTACTATTTTGCTTTTTTTGGTGTCCTCATGTACATTGCTGTCCTCCATAATTTGCCTTGGTGCCCTCGATCATTTGCCTGGGTGCAATTGCCCATTCCTTGTAAAAATATTTGAGGAGGTGCGGCAATAGAGGGCGCTGTTGGAGCTACCGCGGAACATTTTGGAGAAAAAAAAGGTTGACGCGCATGATTAAAATCGACGCGCGCACCAGAGACAGGCTATTTTGTTTTGGCCTAAATGAAAGAAGAACTGACTTACTTTCATTGCAGTCGATTCCTTGGTATCCTGCAGCACACGAGCAGCCATAAGGATCTGTTAAACAGAACAGCATCCCTGCACACGTAGGACCGCCTCCTAACTCAGGTGAGTCGCAGCGAAAACTTCCCGATTGGCCAAAACGGTTGATGCCTACCGCTGTGAACAAAGACCGCATGTCTATTGTTTATCAAATACTTTTTTGTTTTGAATACACATAGGAAAGTGCTCATAATAAATTCTAAAAATAATGCCAACCTTAATTGTATGTTCATTTCAAGTCTTATCAAGTTACAGGCATATGATTGTTTAAAGACGTCACCGTAGAATACCTTTAAGGGAACAATAGAGTGCTGGCCCATGTTTAAAACACCCATGCGACGGGCTCCAGACAAACAGCAACGGGTAAACTGTTTTAACTTCAAATGTTTTTACAAAAAGCCGGACAACGGTAATAAAGAGTTCTGAGACTCACGAGTTTTGCAGACTTTCCCCATAAATCCAGGTGGGCAAATGCAGTCTCCACTCTTGTGGTCACACACTCCGCCATTGAAACAGACTGGACAATCAGCATCGCACAAGGGCATTTTCGATTTATGCTCTTTGCATCCTGTGTAATAAGTAGCAAAAAAGTAAATATTCTTTTCAGTAATATCATTTTTGTCAGTTGCACCACATCCTCACATAATATTTGCGTTTTGAGGTGAACCATGCAGATTAGGTTGTAGCTATATTTTGATCACTTCGAAAACCCTGAGTATTTTGTTTAGGTCATTTAATTAATCTAGAGTTAAAAAAAAAATCAACCGTGATATACCTCTGACAATTAACCGCATGAGTGCCTGGTTTCCTTGGCTACGTTCCCTAGCAAGATGGACCTCGTAAACCCCACCGTTTGAAAAAGCGGTATTGTTGAAGTCAAAGTACAGATGGTCGTTTCTGTCCGGGTGGACTGCACCGCCGTCCTTTCTCCAACGGGTGTTTGCACGGGCCGGGTCTCTTGCAGTGACGGTCAGATTGACTGCATCGCCCGGGTATACCGTCTGACTCACTCGGGTAGGGAGGAAGTCAGCTGTGGTACATAATACATATAATCAAACGTGTATCGCCAGTAAAAGGGGAAAGAATAATGTGGAATTTTACTGCCAGACCCGTAAAATTTGTGTCGCCGAATGCACTTTAAAAAATGCGTATCTAATACGGTCAAAAGTTTGGAAATATCCACAACGGGAAACTCCGTAAAAACTACTCGTTTCATGTTACGGCCCAGCCTCAACTCCAGGGGCGCGTGCTCGTTCCTTACACTAACCCCTACGACCACGTACGAAAAAACAATATGATTCAAAAGTCGCGAAGCCTGTACAATATAGATTATGTCAGCCGCGTTTTTCGCTAAAAAAAAAAACCTGTATCTGTGGTTGTAAAGGCACGAAAGGGATACGTACATTTAATACAAATCTTTGCTATTAACACAACGTCCAAACGTTGTGTAAGAAAGGATTGATTCTTCAAAATCACAACTTTTAACATTTTAAAGATGGCGCCGGCACGTAAAACGGATAAACTGCAGCCCTAATTATAATGTACCGTATTTTGGTATATTTAAATTACACAATTCCAGGGGTTACGATCGCACAAGGCATGATGGGAAACAACATGGCGCTGCAAGATCGTACCTACGGGGCACGGGGCACGAGGTTGGTTACGGCCAAACCCCACAAAGGACTACGGGATTGCGCGCAACCGTGCAAATAGTTTTTGCGGCCATTTTGTTTTATGTCATTACAGTTCAATATGATAATTCTCCTTTGCATGAAACCTATAATAAAAGGCATGAATAACCACTACAACTGGTAGCACACAAGTTGAAAATAAAGTGTAATGAAGCACAACTGTGTCAATATCACGTGTCAATTTACATGTAGTAGTCAGAACTGCTTGTTAATACATTGTGAATACTAAAGTAATGTGAACACAAAAGTGTTTTTTTTTTTCAGACTAATAAACTTAACTCAGTTAAGTTTATTAGTCTGGAAAAAAAAATATAAAAAAATAGGTAAGATTTGTGTATAGTTAAACAGTCTGTTTAACTATACACAAATCTTTCCTATTTTTTTTATAATTTTTGTTTGAATACAAAAAATGTACCAACTAGAAATCCTAAACAATAGCGCATTATCAAAAATTGCTGTACACGATTAGTATTGTCAAAATGATGTTTCAATGGGGGAGCAAATTGCCAAATGATATTAAAATCATTTTGTAAGTGCTAATTGTGCATAATGTTAATTTTCCCATTGATATTCTCATTAATCATTGGATATATGTGTTATAGAAAGGGCATTGTATTACCTTGAAAGAGTAATGCACCTGTTGCTGCTTATCGGCTCATGGGAAATACCACAATTCTTATGGCTGGATTTGATTTATGTGTGCAGTTTCACATTTCACGCAAAACTTGCAAGACAGCATTGGAAAGGGTGGGAAGAGATATTTATTGTAACAACTGACCGGTGCATAGATTAATATTTATTAAAGTTATGAAGTCTTTAATACAACATTGAGTGTTGGAGATTACCTTGTAGGTATGTTACAATGTTATGTAGTATTATTGGAACCCGTGTGGAATCGGGGGTTCCGGGGTCTATATTGACAAAGACTGTCCTGATGCAAATGATGTACTCAGTAGACACAGGTTACTGTTGATTTCACGAAAGATTAGCAGTACTATTTTATTCTTGATGTCACTCTGTTATTAATTAGGAGAATTAGAAGATTTCGAATTCTGGATTCCAGTCAGATTAGTTGTGGTTATTGTTTCTCCCCCCAATCATCCGGGCTGATTGTTAGTGTACGACTCCCCACTGCTACTCGGACGCCATCTTTCTCCACACTAACCCCCAAAACGACAACTTTATGCACGACCCTACGAGACGCAAACTCCCATTGTCTAAGTTGACCCAAGGTCACGCACTTTCTGGGTTCCAGATACAGTGCGCTATATTTAGAAGATCATGCGCCGAGATCGTGTACCGTTACCGTAGCAGTGATATAGCCCCTTCTCGTGACTAATCATGAATCTTAATCAAAGCAAAAATACACTTAAAGTCGTTCTCCTACATTTATACAAACATATATACGTGTAAAGGTACCACTAAGGAGACACGTTATCGTTATTTCTTCGCACGCTGGGAGACATCGGTCATTTGGGAGACATTTTCATCTCTCCCTAATATCACAGCCCCCTTTAGAGGCACAATTTTAATGTCGCAATTAGATTATATTTCTTGCTCGGGGTCTAGTAGGTTAACATACCGAAATTCGTGGAAAATGACTAGGGAATATTTGGTTAGGGCACATTTAGCCTTAAAGGGGCCGGGGGGCGGAATCCGCCCCCCCTCCCCCTCAACATTTTCCGTGATAGCCTCTAAACAAAAAATTTCACGACCCGAGCTGTTATGACTTTTTAGCCTCGAGCTTTGCGCATCTTTTGATACCAAAAACATAAAAATCGGACCACGGGTTGCCGCGTAGCGCCGTGAAAACTGAATTTTCGCAGATACGTCGTGTACACAGAGCAGAATTGCCATTCGTACATATGAATAATTAATAAGCCATAATTCCAAAACCCTTTAACCTATAGTCATGAAATTTCTTGGGTATGTTTAGGAAGAGTTGCTCTATGTATGTTTTAAAAATTTTCGTCACTCCATGGCCGAGATCTTAGGGGGGGGGAGCGGAATCCGCCCCCTCCCCCCGGCTGAGAGATGGTCAAAATAACCCGGCCCCTTTAGGGTTAAGTTTGAAAAAAATTGGGCACAAGTCTATGGGGATGTCTCCAAATGTCCTTTCCCCGGGTAATTACTATTTCAGTATTATGATGACTAAGTGATTCAATCGAATTTTGGCTGTTACATGTAGATCAGGCCATTATGATATGCTCACCAAAGACTTCAGTTTATCAAGTGGATAGGTCGGGGTAAAAACAAATAATAATCACACTTTCATAAATGTAATTTTAATAAGTTAAACGTTTGGACAAAAAATCGAAATGACTACCGAAAAGAACACACACAAACGTTCCCAACGACCCCGGGATTCAGTCAACGGAAACACAATACGTACATTTCGCATAGTCGATTTAAGTCTACTCGTCAACTACTCTTCGGTTGTCGTTATTCTGGAATGCCACTTTGACATAGAATTATAAGTAAACCTAAGTCACCATGACGAAAGTTAGAACAACGTTTGTATTGCAGTGTTTCTCAAAGGTTTCTGTGCATTTTGTTAGTATTTGGTTTTTATTTTTTAATAAGTTAAGAAAAGTTTTGTTTGAATCGTTTGCATTGACTTGTCAAATGTTGATTACATTCAAGGGTGGATGCTTAATTATTTTATCCGCATGGAGGACACAAGAGTTACAATTTAAACAAAATGTCAAATAATTTAGCATTTAGTCTTCATATCTCGTCAAACACGACAGAAAATACCCAAAGGAGAATGTTCAAAACGGTTTAGGTACAGTAAAATAAAATGTGCTTTCCTTCCGTTTATTACTTCCCAATCTAATGTCATCACACCTACCGTTTTTGCTCATGATGACGGTACCAATGTTGATGTCATCCCTGGTGGCTTTACAAGCAAAGGCCCCAATCCTAGTCTTCCCTCCATCCGCTGGCAATCGAAGAATAGAGATCTGATCTCCCTCTGATGACTGGGGTGTTTCCAAACTTCTGTTCGACGGTAACTCCAACTTTGCTGGTGGGTTGTCAGTATCCGTGCCAGTACGCGTGAACGTCGTTCGAGCGAAAGACAGCTCAGCATCACTGCCATGTAGATAGGCTGCGATGTAGGTGTCGTCACTGTCGATATCAATACGCGGCTTGGTGATACAGGTAAAATCAACGACGGCTGAAACACCTGCAGAGTAATATAGTTTTGTGCATTACAAAATGGAAACAAAATCAAAAACTCCGGGCGACATGCGACCCCGACACCCAAGAAAGCAAAGCTTTTGAAACAAAAATGTTTTCAGCTAAAACTGGCAAAAACGGAGGCACTGATTTCCCTCATTAGAGCGGAGATGTAATAGACACTTCGATGTACATACACAGTATTCAAAGCAAGTAAAACGAGTTTTGTGAAATCGTATTTTGTAACCTACATGATAGACCCTTCCAATACTAGTTCAAAAACAAATTGGTGTTATCAAGGGTTTTTGCTAATCCCAGAGGCCGGCATAGTGTCATATGTGTACCTATCTCACTGAATAACTGACTCACTGACTGTCACATGTGAGCTGTGCTAGGATTACACCTGCAACACCAATTAAAGCGCAAAAAAACCTACTGTGTAGACCAGACGCATTAAAAACAGTAGCGTAGCTACGGGGGCTGCAGAGTATTATTCAATGGGATGGAGAAGCAATATCGGGACGGTGGTAATAGGTTATACGGGACGAATCTTATATTTTGCAACGGGCAAAAAGAAAGCGCACCCATTTAAAAAACAAACAAACAAACAAACAAAACAAAACTGTAAGGAATATCCATTCTAAATCAAATGAATGGAACGTTGTGCGATCTGGAACCAGCTTAATCATGGCCGACCTTGTCTTACCATCATCAGTCACTGCTGCTGTTTTCACAAAAGGTTCGTAACGGAAACGAAATCAAATACACAATTCAAATTAATACAAAAATGGATTTTATACTATATATACTGTAGGTTTCCCTGCCTATCTCTCCAAGTTTTTAAGCTTCTACATGTCACTTGGTGGTCGGTCGGGCTGTCTGTCTGTCTGTCTGTCTGTCTGTCGTGGTGTATGTATGTCTGTTTGTCCCCGAAAATTGACCACATGTATGGCGTTCCATATGTGCCATCAGAGTCACAATTTTAAGCTCTGGCAGGGATCATTCTGATCGATTTCATGCAAGACTTTTTGCAACACGGCCACGGCTTATTGTGCACTCGCACTTGTTATTCAATGTAATGCTTGGCTCATTCAATTTAGAATGAAACTGAAAGATCACACAGATCGGCAATCGATCACAAATTGAATCACAAAGATTCATTCAATTTCACCATCCGAGCATTCTATCGTCTTTTCGCTTCACTCAAAATAAAAATATCGTATTGTTGATTCATATTCGTCTGAACCAGCAGTATTACTGCCCTCAAAGGGGTTAATTGGGCATTTATTTTCATTTACGGGCAAACGTATTTAAGATTTTGTCAAGCATCTCTTGCAGACTTCCTGCATATCCCGCATTATTCAGCCGCCTCAACACTCGTATTGGGATAGATGGAGTTGCATTAGACTGGTTTAAATCATACCTTAATGACCGATCTCAATTTGTCCGGGTCAATGATTCAAGTTCATCTACTGTCTCTCTTGATATTGGGCTACCTCAAGGATCAGTCCTAGGGCCCGTCTTGTTCTCTCTGTATACAATGCCACTTGGTGAAATCATTCGAAAGCATGGTATATCCTATCATTGTTATGCAGATGATACCCAATTATACATGTCAGTAGACCCTCAACAACACAAGGTTGATTCAGCAATCCAGCAGATGGAAACATGCATTGATGACGTACGTTCTTGGATGACTCAAAACTGGCTTAAATTCAACGATGAAAAGACCGAATAAAACATCATAGGTTCAAAGCAGCAATCGTGCAAAGTTCATGTTCCATCTATAAGGGTTGGTGATTCAACCATCATGCCATCAAATCAAGTCAGAAATCTTGGTATTATCTTTGATTCATCTCTATCCATGGAACCTCACCTTACATCAATCTCTAGATCAGTCTGCATGTCGATCCGTAACATCGGACACATACGAAAATATCTTGACAAACACACAACTGAAATACTTGTTCACGCTTTCATCACATCCAAAATTGACATGGGCAATTCACTATTGTATGGCATTAACCTAAATCAACTACACCGTTTGCAGCGACTACAAAACATCAGTGCCAGACTAATCTCTCTCACTAGTAAACATTCTCACATCACTCCTGTACTAGCAGATCTCCACTGGCTTCCAGTATCATACAGAATTAAATACAAACTTGGCCTATTCGTGTTCAAAATCCTCCACAGCAATGCGCCGGAGTATCTCATCGACCTCATCCACCCGTACTCAACAGCACGCACCGGACTCCGCTCCAGTGAGCTCATGATGCTTCACGAGCCCAGGACCTCCACTCTGTGGGGTGACAGATCCTTTGCAGCAGCGTCAACCCGAGTGTGGAACCAACTCCCTCTGGCTATCAAATCATCTCCATCCATCACAACATTTAAGACAAACATAAAATCTCACCTGTACAAACAAGCTTACTCTCACAACACACAATCTTAACTTGACTTTCTCCTCGAGCGCCATGAGCGCCTATTTTTGGCGGATACCGGCGCTTTACAAATGTTCTTTTATTATTATTATTATTATTATCCGTATTCGTTTACAATTCTGATGTATCTCACCGTATATCATATCTGACGTATTCAATCCGTAGATGCACACCTATCTTTATTAACTAAGTGTTCAGACAGACATGAGCAGGAATGAACCTACTGAAGTGGAGAAGTGATTGTCTGATGGAAGTGGCCCATGAAATCATTGGAGAAATAATACCCAATAGAGGTTTTCCCGATAGAACAATCATTACCAAACATACATGCCCCGCAGCTGTCATACACGTTAAGAAATCGATGGGTGAATCCGGAAAGGGTTTTATTTTTTCAAAAACAGAGATAAAAAAGAACAGTTAAAAGATTAACAAACATATCAACGAAAATATGCCCCTTATAGATTTGTTCAAACTTGTAATAAAGTGTAAAAGATCAACAACGAAAAAAGCCAATATCTTAGCCCCTTTTCATTTCATTATCTCGTTACATCATCTATCCCTCATAAATCAGTTATTTGTTACATTATACATTTTACAGTCACATCGATTTCGCCTACCTGTAAACGATTCCAGCAGAAGAAACAAAAAGATGAAATGGAGATGGTCCCCCATGACGACCAAGCTGCTCCAACGACCAAGTAACTGATTTTTCTGGCGACAGTTATTTAAGCGCGCTTGCAACAAAGGAGGAACTTGGGCTAAAAATAATAAAGGAAGCGCAGATGAGTTTGTTTTTTCTCTCAACATATTTGCATTGGAATGACATTCCACTGTTGATTGTTTTATTCTGGTTTAATAATTATTTCACACTTCCTTCTAGACCTATTAAAACCGGAAAACAATGAGATCATTACTTTTTTACAGACCACAATAATTTCCGTTATTCCCCTTTAGTCTTGAGAAAGAAATACATTTATAACAAGTACAAGTATTGTCCTTTTAAATTTAATAACTGAACTTGTCCCGTTGTTGGTCAAAAAGATCAGCAATATCATAAAGTTGTCGGTCTTATAACGATCTGAGAGTCTTTAAGACGTTCGTTTTCTATTACAGGAGTTGATTAGGTCGCATTTTAATATTACTTTGCAAAGATGTTTACTTTTGATGATTACTTTTGATGATAAAGTGCCATCACGTTAACTTCATCATGTCGATGCGACAGCGCAGTTTTGTGCCATGTATTTGTTAACAAATGTACTGCGATTACATTTAAATTACAGGATTCAATCAAAGAAACTTTCGAGTTCATACAAGTCAGTGAATCACAAAAAAACAGCAAAGCCATTCATTTCAATGAAATTTGCACTGCTTCAACGTACAGTAAGTTTAAACGTTTATGTTATTTGCAAAAGTAGAAGATGTTCATAAATGATTATAAGTTGGCTGGTGTGGATCAGATAATTATAGTACGACAAAGACATTATATAAGGAAGTAATTGGTTTTTTTTTCAAAGCTCCACTTTGATGTGAAGATAAAAGAATTATGTTGAGAATTTCCTGGTGCCATATATGGCTTGGATTTTTGATTCAATAAAAGTAAGAACATCAGTGAATCAGGAAAAAAGAAGGTCAACGAACGATTACGTTCATGGACCGAAACAGGCTGGCTTATGATGATCAGTTAATTGAAGCCACAGCAAAGTATTAGACAGGGAAGTAAAGAGGTTTTTAAATGCTCCATATTGACGGGAAGATAACTTAATTATTTTGATAACTTCCCAAAAGGCTAAACTTATGAATAAAAACAAATAATATTAACTATTAACCCCTCCCCCAAAAGGGCAACTGTACATTGGCCGTCATTAATTATATACAATTTTATATATTCTGATATTCATGTATAATAAATAGAAATCTTTAATTTATTTATTTATTGTTGTCATTTCTGGTTAGCTGTGGGTTGAGCCTTATTGTCTTGTCTTAGAAAATGGGCGTCTGCAACCCTCTAAAAAGCTAATTTCATTAATATTTGTGAACAAATTAACCGGCCTTGCGAAAGCCCGATTACTGTCTGACAGCTAATAGTTTGAATATTGTGAAGAATTTTTTCAATAACTAGGCGTCAATTGATTTTTTCGTTCGATGTCTCATTTAAATTAAGCAGATGACCTTATATAATTACAAAGGAAATTGCAATTGAATATAAATGTATTTTGGGGTGAAATTCGAAAATGGCAACTTGTCTTCTAAGTTCTGAGCCTCGTGGGAGACCAGTAAAATTCACTGAGTGGGCTACCCAGTTAAAATAGAATTATAAATAAAATATAAATATTGTTATGAGTAAAGCGTAAACCTTTGAGTCGATAAAAGTAAGAGCGACAGTGAATCAGATAAAAAGGAGGTGTTGTTTTTTCATTTCAGTCAACTACGTTCATAGATTATACAGGCTAGCTTGTGGTTAATAAGATAATTATAGCTATGGTAAAATATGTGACAAGGAAGTACTGATTCAAAAAAGCTCCACTTTGATGGAATGATAACAAAATTATGTGGATAATTTCCCGGTGCCATATAAGGCCAATCTCATTAATAAAAATATAATTATGAAATATTAACCTTAAACGCAAGAGGGCGCTAATAAAATGCGCTCGTGAGAATTTACTGATTGCAGTGTAGTAAACCCATTGATCTGTATTATTGAGATTAGTGCGTGAGCCTAAAAGGGTGCAAGCCAGTAAATAGGCCAGAAATTGCCTACGCCAGCCAAATGACGAGTCGCATGCCCCTCATTTATCCGGTATTCGAACATTTTGAGGGCCATGAACTTCAGGGTTTGTAAAATAGAAGGATGGAAGCCGTGCACAGGACTGCGAGCTCGTGTTTCTGTGAAATTAGGCCCTAATTTGCTTTTTATTATTTATTTTTCAATTGATAGACGTCCGTTTTAAAAATGGCGATGGAGTTCAGGACTATAGGCCTACTTTTAGGGAGTGATTATCTTTGAATGAAATTTTCTCCCAAACGTCAATGTTATCATCCAAAAAATTGAACAGAAAATGAAAAAAAAGATGAAATAAGCTTTAATTTTACGTGCGTCTCAAACACTTTGGACAGTTGTGAGTTTATATAATAATTTTGGGAAGTGAGCGTAACTATCACTGAGGTCTATCAGTCGATTTACTGATCTGCAACCAGAAGGACTGTCACAATAATGGTTTTGAGGATGTTGACGATCCCCAGAGGGCGCTTTTAACAGTCAAACAGCGCCCTCTACGTTCACGCGCTTCGTTTGTGAACAGAATAGATTGCGCTTCGCTTCATCACCGCTCACATCAGAGCTCGATTAGTACTTTCTGTAATGGATGACGGCGAGTTTATAGTGGCTCTCCTGTGTTCGGTGTTTATAATTCATTAATAAATAATTTTACATTTGTTCATTCGTTATTATCCTTTGGTAGCGTAGTCAGTCCGTGGTCGGGCTCTGTTCTCTCTCTTGTCTCAGATTTGAATAGAAAGGGAGGGGTGAGGACATTTTGTTTGGGAAGTGTTGATATCGATAAACTGACGGCTATAACCCCAGAAAGCGATGGAAGTGAAGTAAAAGTCCCAAAATCTAGTCCAATTTAAGCAGACTGGAAAAAATGTAGGGTAAAAATACCGGACCAACCAGGAGACGGGGCAAGGCAAAGGTTATTAATTATAAGGAGGGGTCGTTTTTTCTTATTTTTGTCCGACCCCTAAATAAAAAAGGCGTGTATTTCTTGTGATAACACTGTCCAATCTCCCTAATTTCAGAAAAGGCGGGTCTCGTGTATTTCTGTTGTGTTTTTTTTTTTTTGAAACAGTACCGAAGCGCATTAAGTCCATGAGCCACTCGATTATTTTTACAAACCTGACAGACTAATTCTTCTATGGGATTTGTATTAACGAAATTAATCTGAAAACTTTGGAAAAATTTGATGGACCTTATAAAACGGTAGCTGAATGTGTATTACTTTTTCTGGCCCAAGTTTAACGTGACACTGAACGTTTTCAGCCTTTTACTTTTTTTCCCCAGACATCAGACGGCTGTTGCGATTTGAACCCAAAATGAATGTGGCAGAATTAATGGTTTTATAATACGATAGAAATATCATTGCTGAACAGGAAACAGTCGTATACCTATTGCCGATGTTTACGTGACTATGTGTGTGTCACGCAAATGTTGGAAAGTTGAACAAATGACGTTTTTCTGTCGGTGTTAGTGGAGCCTCGTGCAGTTTTACTACATAAATCACATTTCTTGGTACCGAGGAAGCGAACAGAGCGATTAACCGATGTGCAACTTGCCCAGCGGAACTGAACTTCGATGCCGACCAGGAATTCAACCTACACAACCAGGCTAATTGCCGCAGCTTGAGAATTTCAAGAAAGGTTATTTGTGGTAACTGCCGACTTCCCGATGAATTGGTACACCATCATTTTCATTTATTAAAATGACATTCTAGCCCAATGCTTTTTCCAAACCTCAGTAGGCATTACGCGACACATTAAACAAGGAATTTCTTATGGTAAAATTACCCGACCCCTAAATTCAGAACAGGGGGTCGCGTGTTTTTGTGGTTTTTCCCGTCTTTCTTTAATGCGGTACCTAAGCACATCAAGTCCATTAGCAACTCTAGATTATTGGGTACCAATTTGACGGGCTAATTCTCAATAACGAAAAAACCTCAAAACTTTGGAAACATCTGATAGACCTAATAAATCGGTAAATTATATGCTATAATGAGTTGTATTTCTTGTCTGAGGCGGATTAGAACCAGCTAGATGTGACAAAGAGTCATCTTTGGGATTTAAGCTGAGCATTTAAGCTGAAATCTGGGGAATTAAAATTCGACCGAGAATGGAGACATAATGTTCAAGGCCGGGGCCTACAATGTTAATATTCAACAGTCTAAGACTGTCTTGGATGACGTGAATCGTAAAATACTCTCATTATGGTCTGTGGATATAAACTATTTCTTTATTTTGCAAAAAATGCATACACAGGGTGGTTCAAAAAGAAGGAAACCCACTTTTGACAAGAATTTTAACCTACTTACTGAACTTATTTGAATAATGTAGTGAAGTAGAGTTTATCAACCACACGTGGTGAAAAGAAATCTTTAAAAAAAACCGCTAGAAAACTGGTATTATGTTACCAAAATCACCAAAATCACCAAAGTCACCAAAATCACTCGGAGCTCAGTCAAGCGGATGGAATAAAGCCATCTGTGACAAACAGGTTAGACACATGACATGTTAAAACAACCATTATCTCCGAGACAAAATATGCATTTCCAACTATTTTTACGTCACTTATGTTTAAAGATCAATATTTTAATACTATTAAAATGAATTTTTCAAATATGCTCAACAAGAGGTGAAAATCCTGTATATCGATGAAGGCGAACTATAGGACATAAGTGACTTAATATAGCGTCATTAATTACAAAAATAAAGCCCCAAAAGCGGGAGGGGCGTCGCCAGGATTTTTTCTAGAGGAGGGCGAAACATATTTTTTGCCCAACAAATGCCTGTATTTCTCAACACATTCTCGATTTATCAGTTTTAGAGGGAGGCAGGGACATTTTACCCCCCCCCCCCATAAAATTTACACCACTATGACTTCGCGCCTCTTTTTCTTTTCTTTT